CCAAAGTCTTCTGTCAGTTCAAACAGCTTCCTTCCTTTGAGTTTACATTGTGGTGGATATACATCCAACATATATAATGGACTAAACTGAGTGCAAGTAAAGTCACACAACTGTCAAAAGAACCTGCAGTGCAGAACAAAAGCGTAAAGCACAGTTTACTCCAGAAGAGTTGTCAGACTTCATGAGAAGGTCAGAAGGATGGAAATGAAACTGCATGTTGGCAGATGAAATCTAGAAAACAGATCAAAGATGCAGAAAGATCCCGTAGAAACTTTGTGTAATGAGGTAAATCAGGTTTTCCAGCTACTTGGACATGCGTATGAAATGGATCAATGTGAGGTAGAGGTGTGAGAATGCTATCAATTAGCATGTAAATCAAGCTTTCACTGGTGTCACCTTTCCAGGAGAACAATGCCTTTTTAACTTATTAAACCCATAGTGACCTCTGTGTCAAGAAATTATTTACATGTCAGCACACAAAGTTTGGAGGTAAAATGGACTCGCTGAGCAACGGGCCTTTGTCTGCTGCTAACAAAGCCGGCTTGGTTTAAAAACACTGTGAGGAAAGAGCACAAGAGTCAAAAACTGACCACCGATGTTGTCCTAGCGGTCCCCAGAGTGGGCGGCGTTCGGTTCATCTGTGAGTAACTTCACACCGAGAGGCATAATTAGCATGTATGCAAAAACAACTGCTGCTGGGATGAAAAAGTAGAAGTGAAGCGAACAGACGGTGCAGGGACGAGGCGATCTCAGCTGCTCTCCTTCTGCTTTAAGTGCTAATTGAGCTGCCCGCTGTCCTGACCCTGACCCCCGGCCTATTCATGGGGTCCCGTTCTCACGGCCGTGACGCACCGCTGGAAGTAGCCTCTGGGTCCCCCGCCCACCCTCGGTCGGACAATGAGGGTCACCACCTCGCTGCCCACCATCTTGACATCCACCCCCACATTTGACAATGGCCCCCGGTGGCCCTGGAGTCCCTCACAATGGACGGACGCGCGTGACAGAAGTGGTAACGTGGCTTCTTAAAATGCAACACCAGGTCTGACCAGCCTGGCTGCATTAATCGGACCTTTTGGCACCCGGAGGCCGAGGTCAGAATCAATCCGGTGTAGGAAGGAGAGAAATGATTGGGTTTAAACTGGACTCCTGAGAGGCTGCAGTAAGAAACACACATTGTCCATTAAATAAGAACATTGGGTTCAGGAGATTCACAGAATACACGTGTATTTATGTACCATAAAATGTTCACCCCAACACTTAAATGCACCCAGATTCAATTTTATACCATACGTTTTAATTCTACCAAATCACATTTCAGAGGAATAAGTTCTAGTTTTTACTCCACTATGCATTTATTTCAGAGAAGCACGTTACATGCAAAACATATATATATATATATAATTTCTTAGTTTTAAAAAAATTGTTAAATTTGTTCAATCAGTATATTGCAATAGTTCAACTTATTTGTGTGTAATAATGTCCTGTATGTAAAAATAAACTGCCCATGAAACTACACAAATGGACCAAAAAAATCAAAAAGAAATAATAAATAATAATAATATCAGTGACAGTAATAAATAACAATATATTTAAACGATAAAGACATAATGATAAATAATATATGAAACATCATAGCATGCTGTTAGAATAAATTATTACAGGATGACACATGCAGTGTTTATAAATACATCTAACATCTTGCAATCTGCTTTTGTTATATTATATATTTATATTATTGGTATTTCCTTTCATACATTATGTATACAACAGCATGGAAAACTGAAAATATGAAAGTACAGATGAAAACATGTGAAGAAAGTCTAAGAATATTAGAAGTAATGTGAACACGTGGACCTGACAGGACTCGTGTGTTCATGAGGACAGAAAGAGCAGCTTGAAAAGCAATGACTGATATTTTTCTGTCACTTCTGAATGAAAAACCTGCAAAATATGATCGAATCTGGGAAAGTTTTGATTTTTTTTAAAATTTCTGTTGACTTTGGTTTAAAATTAGCTTTTATTCATTTATTTTATCTAAAAAAAAAAAATGGAGCGTTTGTAAAATGTTATTGTCATATCTGAGCCACATGATGATTCAATTCAGTTCAGTTTTATTTGTAAAGCGCATATTTACAACAACAGTCGTCTCATAGCTGAACAAAGGCAGAAACACCCAACAGTCCAAACATGTGGATTCTCTTTAAGCTTCAGCAGTCTGCTGTAAGTCTGAGTAAATGTTTCAGTTCCATTCAGTGTTCTCAGACTTTAATGTACTCATGTTTGGTTGATATGTTTTGATATTGTTCATTAGTTCAGTTTTCTCATGATTCATTTCCTATATATTTGAAATGGCACAAAGAGAAAACAAATAAACTCTGTTGTACTTCCTTGTTTAAACGTTTCAGTGGCGCGCAGCAATGTCTTAGAGATTAAATCAAATCAACCTGAATTATTTTTTAACACAGCTGTCAACACGGCTCACCCCAAACACACAACTTTGTGACAGAAGAGATGGACGTCCAGTGTGTTCCCTTGGCTGCCGAGCGGCTATAAACGATGATAAAACGACGTCGTTACAACGGCCGTGTAAAGCTTAATGTTTCAGAAAAGCACCATAAAGCCGGCGAGTGGCGGGGGATAATGTACACGCTTCAGGATGGATTGATGTTCTAGTTGAATATGACAAACGACACTTTCAAGACGGCCCGCCCACACTATTGCACTTTAGCTGAGAGGACGCCATATTTCATTTGGAGCACGTTCTGTCAAATGTTTGCATTAATAACAAGCGAGGCTCATCCGTGACCCGCAGAGCCGGCGGGCGGGAAACGAGAACGGCAACAATAGCACTTAAAAACAGGAGAGGAGCCTCGCATAATCAGCACAGGGCGTGTGTGTGTGTGTAGGTGTGTGTGTGTGTGTGTGTGTGAGAGAGGAGGTGTGTGTGTGTGTGTGGCAGAGAGTGTGTGTGAGGAGGTGTGTGTGTGTGTGTGTGT